ATTGGGGGGCACTGGGGCAGCCCAGGGGGGGTCCCTTGCCAATGGGGAAGCACCATGACAGCGTGCAAGGCGGCATTTAGAAAGGGACAAACTCTCTCGTCCCTGTGCACCTGCACCAACGCAGGCCCCCAAGACAGCCCCCAACGCCACCCCCCAGACTAAAGCTAGGAGATCCACCGGGCTTTCCCCGTCCCAGGGCTCAGTTCAGCCACCGGGTCAGATTCCGGTCAGGGTCCTCCTCGTCCACCTCCTGCCCCGATGGCCGGGGCTGGACCGTCACTGACAGTGCTCTGGGTGACAGGTGGCAATCTGCAGAGGTCATTAACTTCAGAGCACCACATTTTAATGCAAAAGCGAGCCCTTCTAAATCAGCGCAGCTGCAGTGCTATACAAAGAAATGGGGATTTTAATGTTTTGCTTTTCTTCCCTTTTCTAGTGCCACATTATCATAACATTTTCCCATAATTACGCCCATAAAAGTCACCTGAAAAATACTTCATGCCACAAAAGTTGATCTACATATTTTATTCCGTGACTGTCGAGTGGCAGGTCTCGAACGGGGAGTTTCGGAGCAGGATTCAGCAGGGAGGCCTGGGGCAGAGCACCCCCGTCCCGCCGGGCCCCCCTTTTGGGTCCAAGCGGCCCCTGGCCTCGGGGAGGTCCAGGCCGAACAGGTGCCGATGGGGACAAGATGGCCAGTGTGGACCATGGAGGAGTGTGGACCCTCCAGCGGGATCTCGGGGAAAGAGCTGGGGCGGGCGGAGGGGAAGGGCGGGCAGGGCGGTCAGACCCCCCAGCCGTGAGTCAGCACTGGGCTCCAGGACGGGGCTGACGGAGACCTGCCTGGGAGTCCCGCCTCCCGGGGTATCTGCAGGGAAAGCCCTGTGAGGAGCAAGACACCTTCCCCTCACTGATCCTAGGCCGCCGGGGTCAGCTACTAACAACCCCACAGAAAGAGGTAACGTATCCTTATGTAAATTGCAAGAAACAAACAGCGCAGTCTTCCCCTGCCAGAAATCCGTCATGTAAAAATTCAGTGGGAAATTAAAAAAGAAAAGATGAAAAACTTCTGAATGGCATCACTTCATTAAGCTTCCAGTATTCTCAATTTCACTTCTCCGAGAACTCTAGAAATAAAAATCCGAACAGCAGGAAAGTAGCATATTCTAATCTCTCCTAAATATGCAATAAATTGCATGTATAAAGGAAATGCAACATCACAGTGCCTACGCTCGGTTAGTATTCTAATGGATTAAAAACAATCCAAAAGTTGTTTGTAATTTCTTCTCCCAGTTGCGGGCTGAGGACGTGAGATTTAACTGAAAGGTACAATTCAATTTTGACGGGATTTATCTGGAAAAATCAAATGCATAGTCGAATTGCCCCTCCTCCTCACAAGTACCTCCCTGGTACCTGGAAATAAGGACTGTCCCCCCCAACCGTTTACCTGCTGGGACTTCTGTGGACCACGCAATTAGCAACAGCGGATGTGCAATCCAGCTGAAGTGCAGCGTTCCTCACCGCCGACCTACATCCTGCTTGCTAGTGACAAAGTCAAGGCCCGGGTCCCAAGCTGTCCCACTAGGTCCAGGCTCAGGTGCCAGGGCATCCCACGGGGTCATCACTTTCTCTGTCTCCCTCGCTGTCACGCCGTCCGGTATCCCGCAGGGCAGGGTGAGGAGATCAAATCGGCGGCGAGCACTGCACACCCACCCTCAGCCAGCTCCGGCCGTGGCAGAGAGGTCCCCATGCAAGAACCACGCCTAGGCAGGACAGCCCTCCCTCCTCCACTCACGCCAGGGGGGGGGAAACAAGCGATGTCGGCTCTGCGTAAGCCCCAGCCAGAGGTCTGTTTGCCTCAGACCAGAACGAGCAAGAGTTTCAACTTTCTCACCATCACTCAAGTCAACTCTCGTCGCCAAGCGTCGGGCCGTCCTGGGCACTTGGCTGCAGAGAAACCGGGGGTGCTGGCACCCCTGTGGGCACAAGACTGCGGGGGAAGCATGCACTTCAGAGCGAGCCGTGCAGGGGGCGGGGTGGGCCTTCCCAACAGGAGAAAATGACAAGGCTGTGTCACTATAGCAACTGGCCTAATTGCTGGACTGCAGGTCCTTCTCCAGCCAGAGGGTGGAGCCCAGCTCCTTAGACATGGACCTGGCGCATGGGAAGGACTGTCACCGGCGGCCCAGAGTGGTGGAATACCCCCAACAGAACACCGGCCGGCTGGGAATAGTCCGGTCTCCTTGCAGCGGCACCAGGAAGTGGACCTCGCCTGATCCCAGAGAAACAGGCAGACCTAACAGGACGCTAATTGAATCCTGTGCGATACTTATCAGATCCCCTAATTAATAGGATACAAATATATCTGCTCCATAACACAAATCCATTTTGGGTAATAAAAATCCTTACTGATAACAAAAACAATTTGCAGACGAAGATGCTAACTGTTCTTCTTCATCCTGGATACATTGGAAGAGAGAATGGAAATCCTAGGAAATGTTTAATTTGCATTTTATTTGCTTTATCAATTCTAAAAAAAAAAAAAGTATTTTTTTTTCTCTAGGACTGCAGTTCCAAGCTATAAATTATTATTATGTCTATTTCGTATTTTAGTGAAATGTTTTAATTTCTCCAAGTGCATTTCTGGTGTAATGGGGTGTGCCCGAAACGTTATCTTATTGTCAATTATTCCATTACACGGGGATGGAGACAACTATAAAGAATGTGGTTCGCCCAAGCTTCCGTTATTAATGATTTCTGCTATTCTGGATGAGACATTTCCACCCGGTGTCCTTTTTACGGAGGAAGGGCCGTGTCCGGCATGCCGGGCAGGCCTCCTGGAGATGCACGCGTGTACAAAGCCGGCCTCTCCTTCCTCGGGGAGCAAGGGCCGATGTCTGAACTCTGACGCCCGGCTGGGGAGAGCTGGCAACGGTCTGGGGAAGGTGTGAGCAGTCAGGATATGCATGGAGTGGTAACACCTTGGGATTCAGGATGTGGCACTGGGTGGGAGAGGGCAGACGTGCCTATTTTGAGACAGTGGGTACAGGGTGCCCCCCCCACTGGCACGGGGGTGTGAGGAGTGTTGAAGTCACAGGGCTGGGGTGTCATGTACTTAACAACAATTAGCAGTTGTTCTTTTCTCCACCTGCAGAGCTGCTGGGTAGGGGGGGAGGCAACCAACCTGTTGTGTCCCGGGTTCTAGAAGCCAGCCGGGAACCAGCAGCCCACAGCGGGGCTCGGGGCGCCACAGTCTCCCCAGACGCTGTTGGATGAGCCCCCTCTCCCGAGGCCACCAAGAGGCACATCTGAATGGCTCCTCTCACCTGCCATTGACCCTTTCTGCAGAGCCAGGGAAGCTTCGCATTCGGGGGTGTGCTACAGAACCCCCGGAATACCGCCCTCGGGCCCCGAGAGGTGGCTGCGGGGAGCTCTCCCTCCTCCGGGTAGGGTTTGCAAACGTTGCTCAAACCCCCAGACGCTGCTCCAGCCGCCGGCCAGCCAGCGAGTTCGGTGGGCGAGTGCAGAGAGCGCTCAGGGTGGCCTGCCTGCCTGGCAGCTGGGGCTCTGACCCCTGCTCACCGCTAATCAGCTTCCAGCTTGGAGACCCCTCCCTGCGAGGTGCCACAGCCATTACAGGGAAATGCACAGCCAGGCTGAAACAAGTAGGGCAGTTCCTGCTCTGGGCACCAGGTTTCCCTCGAGACCGCAGTGGGCTCGGCTGTCCCAGGACTCAGGCCACCGGCCCAGCTGCTGCCTGAGTCTCCCTGGCTGGCTGCAACCTCATTTTGGAGACAAGGGAAGGATTGGACCGGGAGCTAGAAGGCCCCTGGCTCCGGAGGAGGTGGGGGTTGGGGGGAGAGGCTTGGCGCTGGCCTTTTTTTTCTTTTTTTTTTGTAAAGAATCCATATTTTTCCATCACCTCCCGCGCCCATGGCAGTTCTCCATGACAGGTGTTCCCCAGCGCCCGTCCCTCCCTCCCGCTGAGATGGAAAGGCACGGCCGAGCTGGACAGCAGGCACCATCCCCGGAGAGCCCTGCCTGAGGCTGACTACCCCCATCAGCTGGGAACATGTACCCGGGACTCTGGCCACCCCCCCCCCAGTCCTGAGTCTGTACCCGCGACTCCAGGCAGCCCTCACTCGCCGGGCGCCGAGCCGTACCCAGGACACAGACGACCCCAGGCTCGCCCAGGCAACCGGAGCCTGTTACCGGGTCACCCTCCACCCCACACCCACCCTCGCCCCAGCTTGTGTCCCGGGCGCCGACCAACCAGCCCTACCCCAGCCCTGCGCCCGCAGCCCCGCGCTGGACCCACTGGGTCACCGGCTCACGTCCCAGACACGACCCGAGAAACGCCCGCAGCAGCGAGTCCCTTCCTGGCTTCCCGCCCCTCACTTCTCCTCTTTTTTAAGAAAGCTCCTGGCGAGCCCGCTTCCCAAGAAGGAAGAAGCTCCAGCCGCGCGTCGGAGCCCGAGCCCCGCTCCTGCCCGCGAGCCCGGTTCCCGGCTCAGCCGCCGCGTCCCCCTCGTCCTGGGCGGGATGGCGCCGGCGGGAAGCGCTGGGCAGGGCGCTCCGCCGACACCGGGCAGTGCTGCCCGCCGCCCCGACCCGCGCCGCCTCCCGGGCATGCAGCGTGGCCGGGAAGCCGCTGGCTGGGCTCCGATCGCCGGCCTGGGCCGGGAGCGGTTACAGCACGCCCGGCAGCCCTGGGCACCGCCGCGCAGGGACGGGCCGCGCCACCCGGGGCCTGGCGCGCGGGCCCTGCCCCGGAGTCGGGGAGGAGGCTCGGGCAGAGGCGCCCAACCCCGAAGTGCCCGCGCGCCCAGAGCCAGAGCAGACCCTCGTCCTGCTTGCCCAGCAGAGGATCAGCCCGGACCGAGCGCCCCCGCTGGCAACTCCGCACCGACTCCGGGCTGCCCGCGGGGCGCCCGCCACGGGCCGGAGACTGGGGGCCGGGCCGAGAGGCCGTGCGGGGGCCCGGGCCGCGCGGTACTCACTGCAGTAGGCGATGAGCAGGCTGGCCAGGATCATGAACGCCCAAAAAGTTGAGGACATGCTGGGCAGGGTGGTCGCATCTTGCCGGCTGCCGGCCCTGGGCGATGGCGCCATTGAAACCGCGGCGCCCGCGCGGGGGGCAGCAGCGCGTCTCAGCAGCCGGCCCTGCCCGCGCCCCCGCGCCGGCCTCACGTGCGGGCCCGCGCGCGCCATCCTCCCGCCGCTGCCGCCGCCGCCGCGCGCCGCCCGCGCCGGCCGGCCCACCTGCCGCCCCGCGCCGCCGCCGCCGCGCCGCGCCGCGCCGCCCGCGCACGCGCTCGCGGCCCAACGAGCCGCGCCGGCCCCCCGGGGACGCCGCCGCTGTCTGGGCGTCGCTGGCGCGCCCCGGCACGGCGCGCCCCGGCACCAAAGCGAGAGGCGCGCCCGACGCGCGCGCACGGCGCCGCCGCGGGCTCCCTGGCGACCCGGGACTGGCGGAGGAGGCTGGCGCGGGACGTCGCGCCCGAGCTGCTCCTCTGGATGGCGACAGAGATGGTCTGGCGCGCCCGCAGCCCGGGCATCTCACGGGGAGGACGGGCTGGGCCCGCGTGAAGTTTGTGGACTTGAGGCCTCCGTGGCCCCATCCCCCGCCGCCACGGCCTGTAAGGCTGGGAGTCCCAGGCCTCTCCTGGGGTGAGTTCCGGACTAGGATCAGGAGTTGGTTCCACGCGGAGGGTGCTTTGGGCCTGTCCACTGGGCATGCCATGTCACTCCGGCTCTGGGGTGCGCGCTGGTGTCCCTGGGCCCACGGGGAGCACAGCCTGGCACCCGGGGTCATCCGAGGCCCAGCGCCCAGGGGGTTCCTCTAGCCTAGGCCCGCACTGCCAGGCACGGAGACGGGTGTCCCTTCCGTCTCCGTCCCAGGAACACACTGCTCGTCCCCTCTGTGGCACTTCCACCTCTGCCACTGCCTTGGTCCTTGGGAGCCATCTCCTCACTCATCTCCTGGGAGTCCCCGGGGGACAAGGTCTCAGCCTTGTCTCTGGGCTCCCGGTTTGGGGGCTGGTCCCATTGAAAGGGGTTCTCTAGGCAGGATCACAGTGATTATGTCATTTGCATAGTTAATTATCATTTGCAAAACGGGCTCATTCCTATAAACAAGCTATGGATGGAGAAAGTGAGTCCTTTGAGGTCACTTTCCCCATCTCCATCCCTCCCTGTCTGCACCTCCCTCCACAGCCCAGGAGATGAGCTCCAGGTGTCCACCCAGCTGGCCCTGCTGCCGGGGAGGCTCTGGCCCCTGCCGGCACCCAGCCGCACCACCCAACCCCGAGTGCTCCCTTCCTCCTGCAGGTGAGTCCACCTGCTCATAGAAACTCCTCCTCTGGGGTTCGTAGGGTCTTCCCCACCCTGCACAGGGATGGGAGCCGGAGCACCCAGAAGGTTCTGCTGGAGCTGAGGAGCCACTAGGGGGCCTGCGAGTGGGTTTGAGCAGCCAGGGAGACTCAGGACAGTCACCAGCGTCATCCCTTCGTCTTGAGCCCTGGTCCAGGAAGGCCTTTAAGGGGACCACGGAGCGGGAGGTGAAGGATGGGGGAGGAGGGCAGCTCGACACATGCCCTGTACACACATGCATACAGTCACGCATGCAGGCATGCACACCATGCACACACACCACCAACACACATGTATGCACATAATCTCTCTCTCTCTCTCTCTCTCACACACACACACACACACACACACCCCTGCAGGGAAACTGAGGCAAGGAAGGGCAGTCTCCCACTACAGGCCATCTGACCCCGGTCACAGTGAAGAGCCTTTGCCACAGGCTTGCCAGTCTGCTTGCTGTAATGATTGTCCGTGCTGCGTTCTCCCCATGAATGTTCAGTTCCCGTTTAAAGAAAACACTCTGACTTTCCCACTTAGGATCTCAACTGCAGCCTCTCCCTGCTCTTTCCTGGCAGGGAGATGACACTGCAGACCCCCGGGGTCCTGACAACTTCGGGGTGGTCCTGAGGCAGCACCTATTGTCTCCGGATGTGCAGGGCTGGTTCCTGCCCCGCCCGGGGAGGGGCTCCCTCAATGGCGTCCTGTGAGGCCAACCACCGGGGCCTGGATCTCCCCCTTTTACAACTGCATTCCTTTGATTTAAGCCTTTTATCCTGTTAAAAAAGGATGTCCCTTTTTTTTTTTTTTTAATGTTACAGATACCGTTTCATCCTGTCCATTCTGAACTCTTCTGTGCCAGACACCCTTCCATTCAACATCTATTTATTGAGCAGCTGGGGCCGGGCATTGAGGGTGGGCATGGCAGCAGGGCAGAGGTTCCAGGCCCCGGAAATCTGCAGTGGGTCTGGGAAGCAGACGAGGGAACCCAGCACTGCAGTGCAGAGTGGCCGGGTCGCTAGGGCGGTGATGGGAGGGCTCAGTTGGTGCACAGGGGTGGTGGGTGCATCTGACCCAAATGGTGTTCTAGGGTGCAGAGAGGGGCGTGCCAGGAAGGGCATCCAGGAGATGGTGGGCTTTGGTGTCACCCTTAGGACAAGCACACATACGTGCAAAATGAAAGCTTCACAGAACAATACTTACACCCTCACCATACTCTGACATTTTCTATTCTATCTGAATTCACTTTTTTGAAATGCTGGTTGCCCACCCAATACCTTGGTGTGCAGTGATTTTCTTTGTTTGAACAACGCTGTTCCTGGAGAGCTGTGGTCCCTGTCGAATTCCGGAGGATGGACTGGAGCTGTCACGGGAAGGGTCGAGGGCCGTGGAGGTGGCGGCAGGCCGGGAGAGGCTGGCTCCCCGGCAGAGGGAAGGCGAGCCGGGCCTTGCGCGGCCTGCTCCGTCTGAGAGCCAACCCTGAGGTTTCCGTGGCGGAGACGTCAGGGGTGTGGCGGGAAAACCTGAGCATGTCGGAGCCTAGTGCGTGGTTCAGGCTGCGCACTGAAGCTTCCGGCAAGAGAGGAATGAGAATGGAGTTCCGGGTGCTGAGGACTTAGAATCCAGAACGCGGAGAGCCCCGCTGCTGAGGTCGGGAGAAGCCGGTTGGGCACCAGAGGGCACGGGTACTAGAGGGAGCGGAGGGCAGAGGGTGGGACCAGGTGGGACCAGGAGACCAGGCAGAGGTTGCAGAGATGGGCGCCTCCTGACATGGAGACGGCAACCTTGATGGACTCACAAAGGCGCAGCCAGCCAGAGGCAGCCTGGAGACAGGCCGGGCGCCTGGTGCGGCCCCATCCCGGCCCGGCGAGAGAGAGGGCAACCGGAAACTGAGGACGGGGATGAGCAGAGTGCTGAATTCCGTTGCTAGGAGACAGGAAGCTCGGTTCTGGATCCCAGCATGTACTACCGATTGATGATTTTTGTTGTTGATGGGCTGGTTTTGATTACTAGCCAGAATTAGCAGGACGGTACATTTTGAAACCTAGATAAGTTTAGTAGAGAATCACACCCTCACCTGACTCCGTCCCGGAAACACCAGGTGGTGCCTGTTTACTCCCCGAGGCAAGGGTCTCGCCCCCCCACCAGGCCGTCGGTCACCGGCTGCTAGAGAGACCCAGCCCTCCTCGGGAGGGGCGCCCGGCACTGGGGTCGCCCGAGGTGGCCACCGTGTCTGGTAGCAATGGGGCGTCTCCCAGAGAGGAGGGACGGCCGACCAGGGTGGCTGCCCAAGGCTCACGTTCCAGCGGGGCAGCCAGTCCGGGCGCCTGGTCTCCGGGATGCATCTGCCGCGGGCGAGGGCTGTGGTTTTGGTGCTCACTCTCCGTTCCTCCACACTGAGTTATTATAGTGTCCTTTCAGCCCCAGCGACCAAGGACTTCCTGACCTTGGCCCTGGATGTTTTAGCGGTGTGGGATGTTGGGATGCTCCGTGCAGGCGCTCGGTGGGAAGGGACGCGCAGTTTAGGGACAGGCAGGTGCTGTTTTGTGAAGATTACGCGTGGATCTCCCACTGGCCGTCCGTCCGCTAACGGGGAGACTACCTTGCTCGCCCCCCCCACCCGCCCCCAGCGGTGTCTGTTCTTCCTTCTGGAAAGCAATGGCAGGTTCCCGTGTGAGGACCTGGCACCGTCCACACGCCTGTCCCGTGTACACTTCTCCCAGGACTGCGGGAGGGATGGAGGTTGGAGGAGACAGGCAAGTGGAAGGTGGCAGCCGCTGGGGGAGCCCAGGGAGAGGGGGAGGCCACTGCCATAGGAACAGCTGGGGGCGGGACCGGGGCCAGCAGCTCTTTGGGAAGTGAACTCACAGGTCCCAGGGAACTCGGGAGGGAGGGCGTGCCAGGGGGGCTGCGGTGACTCCTGGGCTAATGGCGGGAAAACCTGGGAAAGTGGCAGTGATGTCTGCTGAGGAGCACACACACACACACCCAGCTAGCAGCTGGGGACAGACAGCAGCACCAGTGGGATCAGGCACTTCCTCGGGGAAGAGCTGCAGCCCACGGCGGGCGGGAGTGAGAGTTCCGCAGGCACAGGGTGTATGTTCGTTGCATGAGGACAGAGGCCCCCAAAACAGTGTCTTGCAGAGGGCAGGGAAATGGAACAAATGCACGATTTAAACAATGATTGTTGTATCGATCCGGTCTTGATAATGACAATAAGCAGTATTGATATATTCCGTGCCCTGTGCCAGGCACCGTTCCAAGTGCTGCAGGTACATTCACTCCCTGGGTCTCCACGGAGACCCCGTGAGGTGCCCAATACCCAGACACACAAGTGGGGAGCCCGAGCAGGGAGGTGCCAGGGGAATGGCTCCGGGGCCTCTCACTACATTCATTTTATTAAAAAATTGAGAAATAGGGAGACGAGCAAAAAAAATATAAAATGCCCCTTAATTCTGCCACTCGAAGTTAACTGCATTTAGCATTTCGTTGACATGGTCTAGTTATTTTAAAGTACATACATTCTTTCTGTAGATATTTTGTAAACAGTTTTCTTAGTACGTAGCGAAAATTGTTTCATGGCGTTATACGTTCTTCCCAAACATTGTGTTTTATGGCAGTCTGGAATTCTGTAACATATACATGCTGCCATTTATTTTAATCGATCTTTGTTTTTGGACATTTAGATGGCTTCTGGTGTTTTACTTTCTAAGCACTTTAGCAACGAACACGTTTGTACTGCAATGTTTTTGTATAGTTATGGTTACTTACAGAAAGAATTTATAGAGCTGGAATAGTTAGGTCAAAATAAGGACACAGCTTTAAGGCCTTGCTCTGCATTGCCAACTGAACTTCCAAAGCCGTTAATATTAGTTTTCCTTCCGACCAGCACTCCTCCCTGAGATTAACCGTTTTGGTCTACCCCCATCCACACCGGATACCACTGGCTTGAGTATCTGGGACGGTTTTCTGGGCAGGAACAGATTTTATTGTTGTTTTCATTTGCATGTATTTGATGTCATAAGGGTTAACAATTTTTATGTATGTCATTTTAACATCTTCTGCACATCGACTGTTTATATATATATATATCCTATCTCAAGTTTTCTCCCGGTTTGTCTTTTTATCGTTGGTTAGTAAGAACCCTTTCAATTGTTGGAATTTAAAAACTAGAGAAAAACATAAATGAAACAGTATCATAACATAATACCATGGGAAAGGTTGTTTATACAGTCTTTCACAAACGTTACAAATAATTTTTTTTTCAACTGTCTCTGTTGAATGTATCGCGTGTCAGATACTTTTCCTCTCGGAGATTTAAATATGTTGTCGATGGAAATACAGGTGGGGAGTTATGGGGTGTATTAACAGGGGTTCTTCAGAGACACAGCCCAGTAGGGTGTTGTGCAGGTGTGTACAGTCAGGCATCACTTATGGACAAGGTGTGTTCTGAGACACAGCGGCTAGGCGATGCCACCGTTGTATGAACCTCGTGGCGTGCACCGACACACACCCGGCCGCTGCAGCGCGCCGCACACGGAGGCTGGGAGGTGGAGCCCATTCGTTGCTCCTGGGCTGCACGCGTGTTCAGCATGCGACTGTGCTCAGTGCTGTGGGCAACTGTAGCCCACGGGTGTCCGTGTAGCTAACATCTAAACATACAAAAGACACAGCTGTAATCGTATGGGGCCACCGTCACGCATGGGGTTTGTTGTTGACCAGAATATCTTTACTCAGCAGGTGGCTGTACACGCAAAGAGAGAGGAAAAGAGGGGATTTTCAGGAACCGGCTCACACAGTCGTGGGGACTGGCAGGTCTGCGGTCTGCAGGGCAGGCCAAGGAGCTGGAGCCCCGGGAAGAGCGGCTGCTGCAGCTGGCGGCTGAAGGCCTTCTGTAGCCGCACTCAGTCTGTTTTCTCTCCAGCTGGTTGGACGAGGCCCCCCACCTCATGGAAAGTAATCCACTTTACTCAAAGTCTACTGATTTAAATGTTAATCACATCTTTAAAAAAATGCCTTTACTGCAACATCTAGATGGATGTTTGACCAAGCAACTGGGTGCCATGGCCGGCCCGGTCGGCACGTAACATCAACCCCCTCACAGGAGGCATCCACGGCACGCGGCAAACCGCACGTATTTAGGACGGACATTCGATAGACTTTGACGTATGTGCGTGTACTCATGGAAACATCACCAGGGTCAAGGCAGCTGACGTATCCATGCCATCACCGAAAGTCCCCATTGGACCTGTGCCATCCCTCCCTCCCCACTTCCCTGCCCTCCCTATCCCAGGAATCCTACAGATTCCATCATGGCAAGTTAGGTAGAATCACGTACACATTTTTAAAAATAGGATTATGCAGTGTACACTCCTTTTGTCTGGCTTGTTTCACCCAGCATAATTATTTTGAGACATGCAGCCGTGTCACTGCATGTATCAGTTGTTCCTTCCTTTTTATTGCCAGTAGTGTCCCTTGGCGTGGGCATGCCGGTTTGCACACGCATCACCCGTTCATGGACATCCGGGCCGTCTACAGTCTGCATGGTTACAAAGGAAGCCGCTCCGAACATTCATGTACAAGGTTCTGAAAGAGCACATACTTTCATTTTTGTAAATGAAATGTGGGTAATGCCAAGGGGTGGAGTGGCCGGGTCATATGATAGGTATAAGTTCAACTTTCTATGAAACTGTCAGACTCTTTTCCAGCGTGACTGTCCCATTTTAAGTGTGCGCCCGCAGCGTGTGCAAGTTCCACTTCCTCCACCTCTGCCACGCTCCACACGGTCCGACGGGCTGGTTGTGTTGATGGTCGTCCTAGCGGGTGTGCAGCAGTGTCCCCCGTGGTATCAACTTGCATTTCCATAGCGACCAGTCAGATTGTTTCACGTGTTTATGTGCATCTTCTATGGTGCGGTAGCCACCATTTTTTATTGAGTTTTCTTGATGTTTGAGAATTATTCGTGTATTCTACATACAAGTCTTTACCAGACATATAATTTGCAAATATTTCCTCCCAGTCTACGGCTTGTCATTTCATTCTCCTAACAAGGCAGAGGTTGCTAATTTTGATGAAGTCGAGTTTATCAATTTCTTCTTCTATAGATTACATCTTTCAGCGTCACAGTTAAGAAATCTGTGCTTAGCCCAAGATCGTAAAGGCTTAAGGTATGTTTTCTTTTATAAGTTTTATACTTTTAAGTTTTACATTTAGACTATGATTTATTCTGAGTTAATTTTTGTAATGCTGTGAGTTATAGATAGAAGCTTACTTTTTGGAATATGGATTTTCGGTTGTTCCAGCACCATTTGTTTGAAAGATTATACTTTCTCCACTGAATTGCAGCTGCATCTTTGTCAAAATCAGTTGCCAACACTCATGTGAGTCTCATTCCGGGTGCTCTATTCTGTACCATTGATCTGTCTATCTAACTTTATATGCTCTGTCTCGATGAATAGCGCTTCACAGCAAGTCTTAAAATCAAGGGGTGTTAGTCCCCTATTGTTTTTATTTGTAAAAAGTTTTCTTGGCTCATCTAGATATATGCATTTCCTCCCTGTGAATCTTAGAATCAGTTTGTCAGTTTCCATGAATACACCTACTG